GTGGTGGTGGTCACATGGATGAATATATTTACCAAAACTCATGCATCTATATACTTAAAATGGGTGAATTAAATAAATATTTATTTTTCTTCAAGGAAGACATTTTTAAAGACTAGAAGAAATATACTATAAAGAAATTCTTTCTCTTCCCACCCCAAAATGAGTTTTTATTGAACACCTATTACGATTCTGCAGAATTATTGTAGTGTAGGAGAATGTTTGTAGTACTGAAAAACTTATATTAAACAAAATTCATAGAATGATTCTATTCTCTACCTAAGAGATTATTTAATAAGATTCTGTATTTCTTGTTTGAAGTTTTTATTCTATAAAAATTAAGGACAAAGAAAACAAGCTTTTCCTAAATCTGCAAATAGGGCTAAGAAAAAGATAGCAAAGTAGTTGCTTTACTAAGGTTAGTAAGCACTGTTTAAGTTTAGCTAATGGCTCCTAAGATAGAGTGGAAATGCATTATATAAACACACTTTTTTCTGGTAGAATCATGGTCACAATATAGCCAGATTCCACATTGTACACCTAGAGCGCCTATAATATTTGCAATGTAGTAATTTGTATTCCTTTCTCATAAAGAAGAAATAGTGCAGGAAAATTGTTTACTGTTTGTTGTCCTAATATAAGTCACACTAAGATGATGTCTCCAAGGGCTGCAGGGACAACTGTGCTGGTGGTCTATGACTAGGAAGGGAAACAGCAAAAAGGGAGCTAACTTGAGCTGTGGGCTTTTGGCTATCTGGAGGGCACAACCATTTTAATTGCTTACGTGTGGCAGCCATTTTGGGTATTAAAGTGACTGAGGGATCAGCCATTTTAAATGTTTATGAGCAGTGGCCATTTTGATATTTAAAGTGACCCAGGGTGCAGCCCTTTTGAATGTTTACAAGCAGTGGCCATTTTGGATTTTAAAGTGACAGCATTCTCATTCAGATTCCAGGGAGCTAAGAAAGGCTCCATTTGCAAGGATGGAGGGGATATATGTGAGGAGGGTGACAACAGGAAAGGAGACAGGTGGTGAGTATATGTGTTAGACTGGGTTCTCTAGAGAAACAAAAACCAGTAAAGCTTATATATATGTATATATATAGAGAAATTTATCTTAGGAAAATGGCTCACACACTTATAGAAGCTGGCAAGTCCAAAGCTCCTGGATCAAACGTCAAGCTGGAGGCTTTTCCTGGCTCTTGCAACCACAGGGGCTGAGGAGCTCAAGGCTGGCAGGCAGTATCCTGGCTATTGACTCCAACAAATGACAAATCCAATCTCCAGGCCGAATGGTGGACTGTTCACTCACAGACAGTTGTAGGCAGCACAAAAGAATCCCGATCCACAGAAGAATGTCTCTCTTTCCAGGATGTCCTTGGATATACTGGAAGCAGGCCACACCCCTAGGGAAACTCCCCTTCAACAGATTGCCCACTCAGAACATAGTCATCTGATCCCATCATGGGAACTACCGCACCACAACAGCTCAAACCACACAGAATTGTGGGCCAGTCAAGTTGACACACAGCTCCAACTATCACAGTATATAAGTGCTGCCAACTAGTGAATAGAGGAGCACAGTACCCTGCTTACATAGATAACATCCAAAGAAAATGAAAATCGTGGGCAAGTCACTCCAATTAAATATAAACAGAGTATCACAGTACAGTCCACATGAAGAAGCATGATAAAGCAGGAGAAACAAGGGACCAGGATACAGACCCAGAACATATCACTGAGGAAGAAGTGGCACTGGAGCTCCCTGATAAGGAATTCAAATGAATTATATTTACGTTAATGGATTGAGAGACAAATCAAGGAAAACACTGACAAAATTGAGGAAAAGACAGACAAAATGCTTGAACAACTTTGAAAGACAATACAAGAACAAAATGACAAAATAAATGAAAAACTAGAAATGATACAAAATCTACAGATAAAAATCCAGAGGATTAATACTAAATTTTCAGAAGTAGATTGAACACATTGAACAGGCAAAGGAGTAGAATTGAATCAAAGGAAGACAGAATTAGTGAGATTGAAGACAAATACTTCAACACTTCTTTGGAAAGGGATCAGTCAGAAAAAAAGATCAAAACAAAATGAAGAAAACCTAAGGTTCATGTGGGATATCATCAAAAGGAATAACCTACATGTAATCAGAATTCCAAAACATGAAGAGACAAATAAAACCACAGAGAAAATTGTCAAAGATCTGTTGGAAGAGAATTTCCCTGGTATGATGAAAGATGAGACTATATCCATTCAAGAAGTCCAATGAACCCCAAATAGGGTAGACCTCAAAAGAAAATCACCAAGACATATCATCATCAAACTCACCAAAACCAACAACAAAGAAAGAATCCTGAAAGCAGCATGAGAAAAATGAAAAGTTACCTACAAGGGGCAACCAATAAGACTAAGCTCGGATTTCTCAGCAGAAACCATGCAGGCAAGAAGACAATGGGATAGTATATATAAAACCCTGAAAAGAGAAAAATTTCCAACCAAGTATTATATGCACAGCAAAATTGTCCCTCAAATAAGATGATGAAATTAGGACATTTCCAGATAAGCAGAAATTTAGGGAATTTGTTAAAACCAGACCAACCTTACAAGAGATGCTAAAGGGAGTCCTTTGGACAGAGAAACATCAACAGCCAACAACAACTGACCATTAACACACATGATGATATAACCCAGAAACCAACCCAGCTATGGAAGTATCCAAAGTAAATAAACCTACAAGATTGTAAACAGGGAACCAGAGACATCAATTGGCAAATGAGGACAACTACAAACCAAAAAGAGGGAAAATACTGTGTAGTTACAGAGCTTCTAAATGGCAGGGAAGTCAAGACAACTGCAAGATAGAACGGACTGTTCTAAACTTGGAAAGAAAATTCCAAATCACAGGGTAAGATCAAAGAACAATGATAAACCTTCACATCACAATACAAAAGAGAACAAGCACAAAAATTTAGCAAATACTAAAAAATATCAGTGAAGGAAGTGATCACACGATTCTAAACAAAACAAGCTCAGCATAGAAAATTATATGGAACAAAGAAACCAGGAACACCATGGGAACGACACATAGCAAAATGACAGCAACAAACTCATACTTGTCAATAATTACATATCTGACAAGGGACTTACCTCTAAAATTTATAGAAAGCTCCAACACCTCAATAACAAAAAGACAAATAATCCCATTCAAAAATAGGCAGAAGACATGAATAGACACTTAACCAAAGAGGATATTCAGGTGGCCAGCAGATACATGAAGAAATGCTCATGATCATTAGCCATCACACCAAACCAAACCCACTGCCATCAAGTTGGATCTGACTCATAGTGACCCCTCCTTGGGTTTCCGAGCCAGTATCACTACGGAAGTAGATTGCCCAACCTTCCTTCTCAGGAGTGGCTGGTGGGTTTGAACTGCCAGCCTTCTGCTTAACAGTTAAATGCCTTAGGCACTAGGTCACCAGAGCTCCTCATTAGCCAGCAGACAGATGAAATTAAAACAACAGTGAGATACCATCTCACTCCAGCACTAATGCCAAAGTTCAACAAGGCAGAAAACAGCAAATGCTGGCAAGGATGTGAAGAGATTGGGATTCTCATGCACTGCTGGTGGGGCTGTCAAATGATACAACCACTGTGGAAAACAATATGGTGATTCCTTGAAAAGCTGGAATTAGAAATACCATTTGATTCATCAATTCCATTACTAAGTATAGCGTAGTGCCTAAAGCACTTGACTGCTAACCAGAAGGCTCGTGGTTCAAACCCACCAGCCACTTCGGGAGGAAGGTTGGGCAATCTACTTCTGTAGTGATACCGCCTCGGAAACCCAAGGAGGGGTCGCTATGAGTTGGGGCTGACTTGATGGCACATAACAACAACAACATCCTAAAGAAGTGAGAGCCAGGACAAGAACTAATATATGCACACCCATGTTTGTAGCAGCACTATTCACAATAGTGAAAATGGAAACAACCTATATGCCCATCAACAGAAGAATGGATAACCGAACTATGGTACATCTGCACAATGGAATACTCCTGCTGCACACTGCCGTTGAGTCAGATCCGACTCATAGCAACCCCTCCTTGTGTTTCTGAGGCAGTATCACTATGGAAATAGATTGCCCAATCTTCCTTCTGAAGAGTAGCTGGTGGGTTTGAACAGCCAGGCTTCTGGTCAGCAGCCAAATGCCCTAGCCATTATGCCACCAGACCTCCTATTTTGAAGCCCTAGATCTTGTGAGAAAGAGAGTGCTTGCCAGCAGAGGGCTAAAATTAGTGTGTTTATTTTGTTAAGTTGCTGTTTCGATTGAGGTTACTGGATGGTGAAAATGGTTCATCATACATGCTGCTAACCAAAAGGTTGGAATTCTGAGTCTACCCAGAAGTATCTTGGAAGAAAGGCCTGATGATCTATTTCCGAAAAATCAGCCACTGAAAATCTGATGAAGCACAGTTCTGCTCTGACACTATGGGGTCACTATGAGTTAGAGTTGACTTGAGGCAACTGATGCTGGTATTGTTGGGTAAAGAATACAGAAGCAGTAGAAAACCCTTTGACTGGTCTCTGTACCTTGGTTCCCTTGAAAAATATTTTTTTTCCCCTGATTGCTTAATTTGAAAGTCCTAGCCCATATTTGCCAAGACTGTAAAATACACAAATTTATTATTGATGGATATTAGCTAGTTTAAGATATATATGGTGTGATCTATGAATGTGAATAATCAGTGTTTTCCATTTTAACATTTAAGATAAAGTAAATCTCTTTTTGGGTTAGCGTTTTATCTCACTGGTTCTAAGAGAACATCTGGATTATATTTCAAGTAGGTTATATGATATTAATTAGAGTGGCCTTTGTCAAAACCAGAATATTTGTTAGAGTTTAAGAATATTGTGAAAAGGAAGGAAGGATAACTATATGTACCAGTGGCCTATACTGAAGCTGACACCTGCAATCTCCTTTTCAGAGAGATGTTTTCCATGATCTTGGGAGGGGAATTCTGGATAATGCTTGGCAAGGCTATAATGCTACTCTCCTGGCTTATGGCCAAACTGGCTCTGGAAAAAGCTATTCCATGATTGGATTTGGTGCAAACAAGGGTATCATTCCAAACGTGTGTGAGGAGCTCTTTCAAGCAATTAAGAATCGGGAGAGAAATCAAGAATACCAGGTATGTATTATCGTGGAGTCCCTATTTTGAGGATTTTTTTTTTTTTTCTTTTTGAAACCACCCCTACAAAGGAAATTATCAGCATCTCTGTTTTAGGATAATGTTAATTTTCCATATCAAAGTGTTTACTTTATTACAAAATCATGTTGCAACTAAATAAGATATTTGGTTTTTCTGGTTTCATGGAGCAAAACCCAAGGAAATATTTTTTTAAAAGGCATTTTGGGTACCATTGAAGCAGACATCTTTTTTCTTTTTCTTTTTTTATTGTGGCTTGGATGAAAGTTTACAGAAAAAAAATTAGTCTTTCATTAAACAATTTATACACATTTTGTTTAGTGATATTGGTTACAATCTCCTCAATATAACAGTACTCCTTCCACTTCCTCCCTGGGTTCCCCAATTTTGTTCACCCTTCTCTCCTGCCCCTTTCCATTTCAAAGCTTTGCTTTTGGGCAAATCTTGCCCTTTTGGTCTTGTATGATATCTGGAGCATGTTCCTCCCTGGTTTTATTGTTCACTCCATAGGCCTGTCCATTCTTTGGCTGAAAGTTGATCCTCAGGGGTGAGCTTAGTTCCAGGCTTGAAAAATGTCTAAGGTCTGCTGTCTCAGGGGTTCCATCAGTTTCTATAAAACCAGTAAGTCTGGTTTTTTTTTTTTATGATTTTGAGTTTTGTTCAACATATTATTTTCTCCCACTCTATCCAGGACCTTCTATTGTGATCCTAATCAGAGCGGTCAGTAGTGGAGTTGGGCACCATCTAGTTCTTCTGGTCTCAGGGTAGTGCAAGCTGTGGTTCATGTGGTCCCTTAATCCTTTGGACTAATTATTTCCTTAAGACTTTGAGGAAGACTTTGACTCTTCACTCTCCTTTGCTCTGAATGGGGGGAGACCAATTGTCTGGCCCCCCATGGCCACTCGGAAGCTTTTAGGGTCCCAGTTGCTACTCATCATGGTAGGATGTAGAATATTGTCTTTATGAACTATGTTATACCATTGACCTAGATGTCCTGTGAAACCATGGTCCTATGCCCCCAAGTCCAGTGACTCATTCGCTCATGGTGTTTGGTTATGGCTAAGAAATTTTCAAAACTTTGCTCCCTGTTTGCTCTATGATATCTTTGGATATATTTGCAGGTCATAAAATATATATGTAGAAAAATCCTCTGCCAATCCTGTATGTACTTGTGGGTATATTCCAAATTAACTTTCCACATATGTTCAGCTTGCATGTCTACCTATGTATCTACCCATAGATTATTGGTTGTCATTACTGTTATTTCAAGCTTGTGTGTGGAATAGTATTTACCTTTGTTGTCTTTTACTCTTGTGCACCCCCCAATGTCTTCCTTTGCCTTGATCATGTTGTGCTAACCTTCCCCTTATAATATATTGCCTTTTCCCTCGCCCAGGTTAATGTGTCTATTCTCTAATCAGTGATTTTCCTTCCTTTCCCTCCCTACATGATAATCATCAAAGAATGTTTCTTTCTGTGTGTAAATTTTTTCTTGTCTTTTTATAACAGTGATTTCATGCAATGCTTATCCTTTTCTGATTGACTAATTTCGCTCAGCATAAGGTTCTCCCAGTTCATCCATGGTATGAGGTGTTTCATAAATTCTTTGTTATTTTTTAATGTTGTGTAATATTCCATTGTATATATATACCATAGTTTGTTTATCCATTCATCTGGCAATGGATACTTAGGTTGTTTCCATCTTTTTGCTATTGTGAATGGTGCTGCAATGAAAATGGGTGTTCATATGTCTATTTGTGTCACAGCTCTTATTTCTGTAGGATATATACCTCATAGTGGGATTACTGGATCTTATGGTATTTCTATTTCCAACTTTTTAAGCAAGTGCCATACTGTTTTCCATAGTGGTTTTACCATTTTACAGTCTCTCCAGAAGTAGGTATGAGAGCTCCAATCTTTCCATACCCTCACTAGCATTTATCATTTTATATCATATATATATATATATAACCAATTTGCTATTAATGGTGGAGTGAGATGATATCTCATTGTTGTTTTGATTGCATCTCCCTAATGGCTAATAATCGCAAGTATTTCTTCATGTGTTTATTGTCAGCCTAAAAGTCTTCTTTGGTGAAGTGTCTGTTCATATCCACTGGCCATTTTTAATTGAATTGTCTGTCTTTTTGTTGTTGAGGTATTGAATTTTTTCTGTAAATTTTATAGATTAGTCCCTTGTCAGATATGTTGTTGCCAAAATATTTTTTCCCAGTCTGTACATTCTCTTTTCATTCTTCTGGAGAATGATATGATTATTATCTTTTGATATGAATAAGGGTTTGATTTTTAAAGAGGTCCTAGTCACCTAGTTTATCTTCTGCTATTTGTGCATTTTCACTTCTGGTTGACAGGCTATTTATGCAATAAATTAGGGCCCCTAAGTTTGCCCCTGAACGAGCTCTGGTAGCACTATGGTTAAAGCATTTAGGTGCTAACCAGAGGTCAGAGGTTTGAATCCATTAGCTGCTCCATGAGAGAAAGATGAGACGGTCTGCTTCTGTAAAGATTTATAGCCTTGGAAACCTTCTGGGGCAGTTCTGTTCTGGGTTGCCAGAATCAACTCAATGGCCGTGGGGTTGGTTTTTGGTTAAGTTTGGCTCTGTTTTTTCTTTTATCATCTTTATTGTTTTAGGTTTTACATTTAGGCCTTTGATGCATATTGAGTTAGTTTTGCATATGGTGTTAAGTATGGATCCTGTTTCATTTTTGTGAAATGGATATCCAGTTTTGTCAGCACCATTTTTTTTTAAGGAGACTATGTCTTCCCCATTGAAAAGATTTTGGCCCTTTGTCAAAGAGCAGATGTCCATAGGTGGATGGGTTTACTTCTGGGTTATCAATTCTGTTCCATTGATCTATGTGTCTGTTGTTGTACTGCTTACTACAGGGCTGTTGTGACTACTGTGACTGTATAGGAGGTTTTGAGATTGGGAAGTATGAGGCCTCCTACTTCTTTAGTAGTGCTTTGCTTACACTGGGTCTCTTTACTTTCCATGTAAAGGTGGTGACTGTTTTTCCATCTCTTTAAAGAATGATGATGGAATCTGGATAAAGATTGTATTATATCTGTGGATCGCTTTGGGTAGTACTGACATTTCACAATGTTAAGTCTTCCTATCCATGAGCATGGAATGTTCTTCTTCTTCTTTTTTTATATGAAGGTAGATTCTATTGGGTAGGATTTTTCTGAGAGAATTTTTATATCTGTGTTCATGAGGGATACCAAACCAAACTCACTGCCGTCGAGTCGGATGTGACTCACAGTGACCCCTCTTTGGATGAATGTAGATTGCCCAATCTTCCAAGGAAAGCTGGTGAATTTGAACCTCTAGCCTTCTGGTTAGCAGTCATAAGCTTAAGGTACTATGCTACCAGAGCTCTTGGTCAATAATTTTCTCTTATAGTGGTGTCTTTGCCTGACTTCTGTATCAAAGTTAGCTTTGCTTCATAAAATGAGTTTGGGAGTATCCATTCTTTTCTGTGTTCTGGAATAGTTCCACTAGAATTAGTATTACTTTTGTCTCTACCTATCTAACATTGTTCCCTCCCTTCCCCTATAACCCCTGGTAACCAACAAAGAAAATTTCTTTCCATATATAAAATTTTCCTTGACTTTTTACAATAATGGACTAATACGATATTTGTCCTTCTGTTGATTGACTTATTTCACTCAGCATAATGTCCTCCAAGTTCATCCATGTTATGTAGTGTTTTGCAGATTCTACATTATTCTTTAGGGTTGCATAGAATTCCATTGTCTGTATGTACCATAGTTTGGTTATGGTATATTCTTCAGTTGATGGACACCTAGGTTGTTTCCATCTTTTGGCTATTGTAAAAAGTGCTGTGATGAACATGGGTGTGCATATTTCTATTCTTGTCCTGGCTCTCACTTCTTTAGGATATATATCTAGTAATGGCATGGCTGGGTCAAATGGTGTTTCTAATTCTAACTTTTTAAGGAAGCACAATACTTCTTTCCACAGTGGTTGTACCATTTTACAGTCCCAACAGCAGTGTATGAGAGTCTCAATCTCTCTGCTTCCTTGCCAGCATTTGTTATTTTCTGTCTTGTTGAACTTTGCTACTAGTGCTGGGGTAAGATGATTTCTCATTGTTGTTTTGATTTGCATCTCTCTAATGGCTAATGATCTTGAGCATTTCTTCATGTTGGTTGGCCGCCTGAATATCCTCTTTGGTGAAGTGTCTATTCATGTCTTCTGCCCATTTTTCAATTGGATTATTTGTCTTTTTGTTGTCTAGGTATTGAAGTTTTCTATACATTTTAGAGATAAGTCCCTTGTCAGATATGTCATTGCTGAATATTTTTTCCCAATCTGTAGGTTCTCTTTTGACTCTTTTGGAGATGTCTTTGGAAGCACATAAAAATTTAATTTTTAGAAAGTCCCATTCATCTAATTTATCTTCTGCTGTTTATGCATTCTGGGTTATGCTTGACAGTTTATTTATGCCATATATTAGGGCCCTAAATTTGCCCCTAGTTTTTCCTTGAGGAACTTTATAATTTTAAGTTCAACATTGAAGTCTTTGCTCCATCTGCAGTTAGTTTTTGTGTATGGTGTGAGCTACAGATCTTGTTTCCTTTTTCTGCAAATGGATATCCAATTTTGCCAGCACCATTTAGTAAACAGATATTCTTTTGCCCATTTAATGGA